CCGCACGCAGCTTCCTACACGGCAGGCTATTCCGGGACCCACCTGCTCACGTGGCACTGCCTGTCCTGTGTGCACTGTCCCACTGCCACACCATTACAGGCCTCCCGGGTTTCTGGGACAGCAAATCCCATCACTGTTTCCATTTGGGAAAAACTCTGGGCCATTCCCAACATCTACTGTTCCAAAATCATCTCAGCAGCAACTTATCGAGTGGCTGAAAATACTGGGTCGTCGCGAAAGCCGTGACATATTTTTTCCTATGGTTTTCTATGCACGCGAGTCCTGACTTTTCCCGCTGGTGCTTCGGCTGGAACGACAGTTCCATTTGGAGTACTACCACCTACAACAATGCCTTCCACTCCCGAAACGTGCAAAGCCTGCCCGTGGACGTGGGCGAGCTTGTAAATCATTTCGGTAAAAGTTGCTATCTTTTCTTCATAAAGCTTTGGTACAATTATGCTTTCTTCTGAAATGTTTTCTAAGTTTGTCATCATCGAGGGTAGAACCTGACTTTCCTATAGGAGCAATTTCTAATTATTTCATCATTTCTAAGATTACCCATGTTTTCAAATTTTTAACAAACTGTATTTCTATCCAGCGAACGTCTACTCATGCCCTATAACTATGGATGCATGAGTTTTCATCTTCTTCACTGATGTGAACTGTCTACTCGTGCCCTATAACTATGGATGCATGAGTTTTCATCTTCTTCACTGATGTGAACTGTCTACTCGTGCCCTATAACTATGGATGCATGAGTTTTCATCCTCTTCACTGATGTGAGTTCTATACATGGTGAGGATATCCACTTTTTGCTTAGCTGTGTCATAAAGTTTCCCTCTATGTGGTTTGGCTTTTAAACACAGGGTTTTCTCTTTTCTTCTAAAGGCTGATTTAATTTTTTATGTACGCAAATCCACCGACTTTTAAATGATTTTCTCCGCTGTTTCTATCAGTGGCAGCTAATCCCAGCCATTAGCTCTGACTCTCACACCTGCAAGGCTCACCTTATTTCCCCGAGATTCAGTTTACTCAGATTACAGAGCTGCGCTGTCCACTTCCATATGCAAAATTTCTCCTTGCAGATGTTGAACAGCTATTTCATTTTCTTCCTGACACGAGGGTCACTTACTATATATTATGTTCCCATATTATTTTCTGGGGTGAACAGACTCTTGTGATCTGCACAGAAACTCTAAAGTCAGTAAGACATCTGGGTTTTTTGGTTATTTTTTCCAACTGCCAGAGGGTACACGTGTTTGCCAGAGATGGGGTGGGGTGTGGGGGCGTGTTCCCCAATGGGACATGGTCACACCACAATGCCTTCTCCATTTCTCCATCCTGTTGGGATTTTTGGACACACCAACACTTGTGCCCGGTGTGTTTCTCTAGCCAGCAGGGCTGGACTTCAGCCTGCACTTGGCCGGATGGGATCCAGTTCTCTTAGCCACTGACCCAGCTGCAGGCCCGGCCCAGTTTCACAGGACATGGCCAGGTAACACGTTTAAACGCATCTGTCTCACCCCATCATCCTAACTATTCTGTCGGATTCACCCCAAGGTCCACATCCCTGTAACACCTAAACAGCACCCTGAGAACATGGACGCTCTCTGTCTCAGAGTTCTCACAGCTTGCAGGATGTCTCAGGAGCTCCTTCAGGAGGACACACACCTCCATAAGGTCATGCCTGCATGTTTCCTGCTTTTTTCGTGCCAGACAGCTGTGTGTTTTCTTCCATTTCACCTTCTGCTATTATTTTTGGTATCTGGAAAGCTATTAACTTTATAGATATACTGTGTACTCAATCACTTCACTTTTTGTCTAATCATTCTTGTTATTTATGTAGTCAACAGCATCTACAAATACTTTTATTCTTTTCATTTTAGATCCTCACCTCTCTCTTATTTCATCTATTACTTCGTTAAAACTTATAAAAACCATAATAAATAACATCCAATTTTTAATCTGACTTTGCTATGTCTCTGGTAAGTATATTGTAGACAATTAGTTTAACATTTAAGTGTACTTCGTTTTTTAGTCTTCTTTTAAAAATTACTTCATTTGATTATCATTATTATTATTATTATTTTTTAATTTGCTATGTGGCATATGCACTCACCAGAGAGAGAGAGAGAAAGCAAGCTGGTTTGATTCAAACCACGGTCAGCCATGTGCGAATCCAGTGACTCAGCCCTCCGGCCACCTGCTGCCCACCCCCCACTCTCCCAGTCAAGTGAATTTTTTTAAAGAACATTAAAAAGTGCCCTTTTCCCTCATTACTTTTAGTTATCATTGCTTTTTTAAAAAATAAGACATCAAGGGACCAGCAGATGGCATAATGGTTATGCCGCGGAGCTCCTACATAGTCAACCACATGGTTCAAGTCCCAAACCCGGGAACTTAAAACTCAGGCCCGGCCCCTGTGCGTGCGTGCCCAAGATCCTGACAGGAGAATGGAGGAGAAGGGATTGTGGCATGGCCATCCCTCCGAGAGGTGATTTCTTGCTTTCTGTATTTCTGGGAAGCGCATGCACCCTATAGCAAAAATCTCTATCCAAAAAAGAGGAAAAAAAAAAAAATACAATATCAGGATTCTTTTTTTTTTTTTTTTCCCAGTCAGATATCTACTTTGACCTTAGTGTGAATTCAGGGTATATGAGTGCCAAGGGAAAGACCACGTCCCTCCTAGCGAGCCTCTGAAAGAGCCTGCCTGGTCTTCCACTTCTCTGCTCTCCACCCCCACTCCACAGGTAGCAACTGGAGCAGTGATTTAAAAATGCAAATCTGGGGACCGGCAGATGGTGCAATGGTTACATCCCATGTAGCTGACCATGGTTCAAGTCCCATACTCAACAGCTTAAGACGCAGGCCGGGTACGCGCACGCACGCACATGTGTGTGTGTAGAGGGGTGCCCAGTGCCCCAAACCCTGAGAGAATGGAGAAGGGGCTGTAGTATGATTGTCCCCCCAGGGGGTGATTTCTCACTTTGTCTCTCGGTCTCTCCAGAGAGCACACATGCCCTACAGCAAAAAACCTTCTTAAAAAAAAAAATGCAAATCTGCTTATGTTGCTCCTTTGCTCAAAACCCAGTCCTCACAATGGTCTCCCACTTCACTCAGGACAAAATACATCTTCAACCTGCCCATGAGACCCTCCGTGACTGGTGCCCGGTCTAGCCACGCCTCCCTCCCCCCTGCCGTCCACTGTCATTCTTTCGGTTCCCAGAATGGGCAGCGTGCCCCAGTGCCCCTGCCTTCCCACATGCCGCTCCTCTGCCTGGAAGATTATCCCCTACTTCACTCACCACTAATGCCTACTCTCCCTCTCAATCTCGTTTTTTGCAAGAAAGTCTTTTCTGGTCCCCTCTCCACAGTGTAAAATTCAGTTCCCCTTTGATACGCTCTCACAGCAGGTGCTTCTTAACCTTCCAGGCAGATACCACATGCGGTTGTGTGATTGCACGTCATTTCTGATAAGCTCCGAGAAAACGGGGACAAGGCAACGCCGTGGGCCACACTGCTGCCACTCGTGTACACGTGAATAGGAGAAAAATGCCTACTAAGCCCATAATCGTATCTCTCACATCTTAAATGCTACTTATCACATCGTTCGATCAGTACTCCAGTTGCTAAAACTCTTTCTGGTAGTGCCTACAAATTCAGGAAGAATTTTCCCTAAGGACATCCGTGCTAACCTGAATCTGCTGCGGCCACAGGAAAGGATGAATTTACATCACTAGGAAATAAGTTTGCTTAAATATTATGATGGGAGTTTTATCTAATGTCCCGTTTGTGGAAATGTTTACCCACAGTCAACTGATAGGCCTTAATTTTGAAGGCACGTGTAAGCAATAGGACTAATGTGCTCTGCAAAATATGTAATGCATCACCAGCACATGATAAAAATTAATTATAACAAAGCCAAAGTTAAGCACTGAAAGCAACTCCCTCAAGCACTCTGTAATATGCTATCTAGCCGAAGAAAACAGAAATGTTGCTGCAAGTTCACAATATTCCCACCGTAATGGCTGATGATGCCGACCCTTAGGTACCACTTCCCACTCCGCAGAGCACTTCCCATGCATGGTCTCACTGGCGTCTGTAGCAGACGGAGCGGACATGCTCATGCCTTACAGAAAAGAAAACCGAGGTTTGGAGTGAGTCGACGTCCTCCCCAAGGTCACAGGGCTTCCCAGTGGTAGCTGGTAACCACCACGGAGGAAGGATGCCAGCTCTCACACGTAAATTGTGAAACCAAAGAGAACCCCCACTGCAGAGGCTAGTCCTTGTCAGGGTACAGATTTGTTCTCCCTTCACTGAAATACCACCTCCCCAGAGGACCATCGCCAAGAAAACTGTCTTTAAGTTAAATCTTCAACTGCCCCCTGGACAGTGGCTAACCTCTGCTACACCTGCGCTCTGGAACAAGCTGCAGCAGTTCTTAAAACCGAGTGAAAGCATTACATGCTGAGGCTGAAGGACGGACCTTACCACTCGTGCAAACAGAGAAAGATGGTAAAAGCGCTAAAAAGACACACCACGCCCGTGATAGTCGCTGCCTCTGGAGACAGTCTAAGCCTTTTGCTCTCTGTGATGCGTTCACGTGTACAAAAAAAGGTACTACTTCACTCATTTAAAGCTAATTTGAAAAACGTCAGTGAACTTGTGGGCTCAACAAGGTCATTTTCTGCTCTAGAAAGCAGAAATCGATACGGAAGCAGCGGCCCTCCCTAAGAGAGAAAACGAAATACAAAAAGGAACAGATCGACCCAGTTACAACAAAGTGTCTAAACATCGCAAAGCTTTCCTAGGAGCAGGCAATAGCTTGGGGACATTTCTGAAATAGCTGCTGTCCTTTGTTGCGATCGGACGGCCGGGCGCACACACCAACTACCGTGGCACAGTTCGCAGCCCGAGCGAGGTCCGGCCGTCAGAGTTGTCTGGCAGGAAAGGGTGCACAAAGAGGCTGAGTTTGGGGAGCCGGCTTGGCAGAGACTAACCGAGTGGGAAGTGTCTGGGAAGGAGGTGGATGGAGTTCATCAGAGACACGGTGCAGGGAGAAGACGGAAGCCGAGTCCCGGAGGACGGCATTCCCCCGGGTGTGGGCGAGACGCGGGCGCTCGGTGGCCGCCAGCCAGTTTACCTGGGCGAGAA